TTGTCCTGCTTTGCTTGTCGCTTTCCAATGCTCTGCCCAGGAAAACAACTGTCCATGTCGGAAGAGTTGGGTGATTTGCAAGCCTGGACCTTGGCAGAGTCAAGTTTCAGCGGCCGCTGCCCGGACATGTCTAAAACACTTGCCCGTGTCTTGCTGGCATCGGCGGCTGGAACTGCGCAGAGCGAGCGTGACTTTGCAGATATCAAGTACCACACTGCACGCGACAGGGATTTCTTAGGCCCTTACTTCAAGGCGTTCGAGAGGCGGCTTCGCCAGTGGGACAAGAACAGTCTTCGTGGTGCAGTTGCTATGCTTGCCCAAAAGATTTGGCAGGAAGGCTTCGGCTCTGAAAGATCATCTGGGTCCGCTCGCAAACCTAAGTTTGTTTCCGGTCTTCGACTAGAAGCAAGCCGGCAGGACGCTTGGCGGCACTTAGCTTTTTTTAACTTGCCGGAGTTCGCTTTGCACACCTTGCCGGCCAAGGCACGAACAAGAAATCCTGTTTCGGAAGCCGCGTGGATAGCTCGACGCCGGAAGAGTGTGAAGCGATGCTTAAAGCTGAACGATGCCCCTCGGGACATGCTGCGGCTGAGCAAAAGCTCCCGCAAGGCAGCTGGAAATGCAATTTCCACCAAGCACGAGGAAGCGACCAAAAAGTTGTCGGAGCTGAAGAAAAGACGGTGCTTTCAAGCTCAGCAAGACGACCTGCTGCTGCGGCAAGAGCAGCTTCGTCCAGCAGAGCACAGCCAATGCTTGGAGCGTAGGAGGAAAGCTGACCACCAAGCTCAGCTCGAAAGCTCGCTGCGGAAACGCAGGCGGAGTCAGCCAAACTTCCAGCTCTGGCCAATATGCGCCTTGGCGTTTGAATTTGCTTTTGCGCCTTTGTTCTTGCAAGTTTTCTTAGGCGATTGCTCGCGAAAGAGGAGGCAGACTCTACTGACTTGCACCAGAAACTCCACTCTTTGGGTGCCCTGGTGGTCTATGATTATCTCTTGGCTGAAGGCGTTGTGGTGAACAATGTCGCAAAACCTGGCTCTCGAGCTTCATGGCTAATGCGACTCTCTGGTGGTCTTATCGTAAGCCAAGCTGCGATCAAGACCGGGTTTGGGCCTTGGGTTAAATACAAAGGGCCAGCCAAGGGCACCCGAAGACATGTGCTCATTACGCCATCATTTCGCAATCGTCATCCGCGATTCGCTGTCTTGGCACAAACACGCATGCAAGAGCTCAACTGGAAAGTGTACGTGCGGGCCTTGGCTGGCTGTGGCACACTTGTCGTCCTGTCCGTGTCCCGTTTGCCTTGTTTGGAGCGGCGCGCCCCTGGTAACAGAACTGAGGACAAGGCTGCCACCTGGGTGAACGCAGCCAAAGCTGCCAAGACCAAGAACTATGTGAGTGTAGGACTTGTGCAGGAAAAGTCCGTGCTGACATCCACAAAGATGTTCAACGCCCATACATTTGTACAGTGGGGAGCTCTTGGGGCAATAGAGCGATTCTGCCTGGGTCACAGCCGCCAATGACGAGCATTGGTCGCTGCACCGAATCTGCAGACTGGGGAAGAGGGCTGCCACTGCCTCGCGTCATAACAGAGAGAAACACGTCTATGCGATGGCTCGCTGTCTGATGACGGAAAGTGCTTCTTGACGCGCTGGGAGTTAAACAGTGTACAAAGCCGTGGGGGGGTGGGGGGAACCTTGTCCCGGCTGATGCGCGGGTCCGGTCAGCCGAAAAATCCTCCATGTTGTGGGAGTTTTGTTTGAGCGCTTTCTGCCACGCAAGCCTGGTTTTTGGTGTTGCTCCCTGTGTCTGCCAAATGAACAATTCTGATGCATCAGAATTTTGGGCCCCTGCGAGTTCTGATGCACTAGATTTTGGGTCCCTGCGAGTTCGGATGCACTAGATTTTGGGCCCCTGCGAGTTCTGACGCACTAGATTTTTGAGTCTAAGTCGTTTATGCTTTTTCAAACGGGTCCTCGGGCTCTTTTGGGCCCGACAGCCCGAGTGCCGGGGGGTTCCGAACCCCCTGGCACTGCGAGTTCTGATGCGTCAGAACTTGCAGTGCCGGGGGTTACCCCCCCATTTTCGAGTCCCAAGTGCCGGGGGGTTCCGAACCCTCTGGCACTCGGGACTCGAAAATGGGGGGGTAACCCTGGCACTGCGAGTTCTGATGCATCAGAACTTGCAGTGCCAGGGGGTACGGAACCCCCTGGCACTGCGGCTCAAAATCGGGCTGACCTGCTATTTGTTTTGGGGGGTATGTGCAATTAAGCCCCAAGCCGAGACTACTACGTCTTGTTGTCTGTTGTCTGGTGTGCTCATGTGTTCTGTCTGCCTGTCAAGCCGTTTCACGCTTCGCCCCGCAGCCAGCTTTCCTCCAGTTGCTTCTTCAGCTGACTTGCTGCGTTGCCGCAGAAAGTCCGTGAAGCATGGGGAAGACATCCTTGAAGGTGAAGAAAACTGGCATCTAGAAGCCTCCTCGCGTGGAGAAGGTGGAGTCACATTGCCAGCGCAAGTGGCCAATCATGCTTGGGAGCGACTGCAGCGGCATGGGAACTGATGTTGTGGCAGCGAAGCAACTGGGGATTGAGTTCATGGTTCAGTTTGCCACCGATGTGGACCCAGATTGCCGAAAGGTGAGTCTTTCCCACAAAAAGGGACCGAGGAGTCTTGGATATGCTCTTGGAAATGTTTGCGAGAAGTGTGACTTGTACACAGCTGGGTTTCCGTGCCAACCATACAGCAGACTGCCAGAACAAGTAGCTGTTTTCAACCGAGTTTGGGTTACTTTCTGTTTTTTTGCACATAGGTCTTTGCTTAGTCTGCTCCTTCCGAGGTACGGCGGGCGTCGGGCAGGGGAAATGCGACCATCGTGATTTATCAAAGGCTGTGGTGGACTACATCTGCCGCATGCAACCGCGTGGATTTGTGCTGGAGAATGTGACGGGCATCCGGAATAAGAAGCACAGGAAGCACTTCAACAAACTTCTGCAGCAGCTCAAGGAATGTCGGCTTCCTGGGTCGCAGAAGTGGGCCTATGCTGTGAGCTGGCGAATGGTGAACAGCCGCAGTTTCGGGCTTCCGCAGAACCGGAAGAGGATCTACATCATGGGCGCCAGGAGGTCCACGCGCAAGGGTGTGAAAACCAGAAAACCAAATATGGTCCACTCGCTGCCTGAAAGCAAGTTCGCTTGCCTGGACGACTTCTTGGAGAAGGGGCTTCCCAAGGTGGACATCATGAAGCTTTGCAAAACCAAGCGGAACAACATTTTGGCAGGAAGGAAGAAGCTCAAGGCGAAGGGTGTTTGGAATCTGGACAGGGACATCATCGACGCAGGAGCCGGGAAAAACTTCCGGCAGGTCACCTCGGGCTATGTTCCCACAATCACATGTGCACGAGCCTCCGGCGACAACTTCTGGCTCGACAACGATTCTTGTCAAAACCAGATTTAGCGAGTGCAAATAATCAAGTGTGGCGAGTTGCGCAGCCCGCAGCCCGCTTACAGCCTGTGCTAAGGAAAGTCGCTTTCTCAGCCTCAAGGAGCTGGCGGCTTTGCAGGGATTCCACAACTTCCGCTGGCCCAAAAGTGTGTCCCGCGCCAAGAGAGGCAAAATGGTGGGCAACGCCATGTCGGTTCCTGTCCTGAGGGAGGCAATGAGGGCGGTGCTCACGGCAGCTAGGTTGATCCGCTAGGCCTAGTAACTGTGGAGCCACAGTTATTAAGACAAGAGCTGCTCCTGTTTAATTTGCTGGGACGATGGCCCTGCTTTGGGTTGGTGCTCCGCGACTGCAAGGAGCGTGTGAATCTACAGTGAGGCACAATTGACTGGGGTAAAAAGAAAACGGAAGCGTTGCTGACGCGGATCAAATTCGACTTTTCACAGAGCGTGGCCCGTGCTTTCAGACTAAGGCTCATCCGCAGTGTTCAGATTACGGATCATCCGCAGTGTTTTTTATTTGAGGCCCCCGGTGCCAGCTGCGTAACCGCAGCGAGGTGCAGCAGCTTGAACATGTGTTGGCCCCAGAAACTGCAAGGCGAACGGAAGACGAAGTAAAGCCAACAATTGACGTGTTTCTGCGGACCGGAAATCAAACACACTGGCAGCCAGCAAGGCCCAGCAATAGTTGCGGGTAGCAAGATTTGAGTAGTTGCCTGGTCATGAGTCATGTCGGCCCAAGCGCCCCGCGGCAGCCTTGCAAGTTCTCCCAAGATGGCTCAGTTCTTGGTCGGCGTCCGGCGGGCGCTGGAGAACACAGCTGGAGCGCGCCCTTTCGGAACCTTCAAGTGACTGACTGCTATGGTTCAATCAACATCCTCGGCAAGCTCAACCCCGGTGCAATGCAGGAACATAAGCGCTTCCCACTACGATGACGTGAGGAAGGCTTGGGAACTCATTGTGGGGCGCGGGCCTCAGTAATAGAGATGCCATCAGTCAGTACTGCGCTGCTGCTCAGGACGGTCTTTTCAGGGACCTTGAGTCAATGAAGCCCTTAACGATCGAGGAGGGCGGTCGTCAAGACCCCTTCGACAATCGCAAGTTGCAGTCCATGATGGAGGCCTTGAAGGAGGGAGATTCCACTACTGACCAGTTCATTGCAGGCGGCAATGTAGCGTGGGTTAGCTGGTCATGGTCTTCGACTGCAAGTGTGCCAGTGTACAAGAGCAGCGTAAAGTGGATCATGCACACCACGTACAAGAAGCCCCAGCCTATAAATTTGGTGGTGGCAGTGGATGACTTGTTTATGGACCAGAAAAATGGGCAAATGTAGAGGATCAGTCCGGAGGAGGACCATCACGCCTTCATCTTGGCCACAGCGAGGGACTTGCAGCAAGACAAGTTCCAGGAGGCCGGCGCCGTCGCTGTCTTGGCCCCTAAATACATTACTAGCCAAGCATTGAGTTGCCAGCGCGGAATGGAGAAGGGCATGGCTGTCTTCCACGATCGATTGCCGCTTCAAGCCCGGGCTGAATTTGTTCTGGGAAGCGGCCAAGCAAAGGGAGGATGTTGGGACCAGCTACGAGACCATGTACTACAGCCCTGTGCAACGCATCTTTCAAATAGTGTCCTTCAAGTTGAATCACGAATCAGCTTCCAATACCAAGCTGACGACTAAGAAGCTTTTCGAGATCTTGTCTGCCAACTTGACGGTGACATCGGGGGAGGCAGTGACGCAGTCCTTCCTCGAAGTCTTGATGGCTCTGTGGAATTCCTTGCTGAGCGACACTTCTTTCCGAGAGGAAGTCCTGCTTTCTGAGGAGGTTTTCGGAAAGCGAAGTCCCATCAAGTCCATATATGTTTTGCGAGACCTTGCCACTGCTTGCAAGAAGCAACCGCCTTGCGTGAAGTGGGTGTTCGATGCCCTCATGGATGCGGCGTTGAACAAAATCTTCAAGCAAGGCGAGCTCAACCCCCAGGCGTTGGCCGGCAAGAACCCCCGTGGGAATAATTCCAAAGGGCCTGACTCCTAGCACTGCTGCTTTTTTCTTAGGTTTTGCCTGGATTGATGGGGGCGCACTGCTTCTGAGGCTGTTGCATATGTGGGCATGGAAGTATGTCCTGAAAGATGAGATCCTGGACATGCTGTTGGCTCACAAGAGCCTGCCATGTGAGGACGCAAAACGCATCCGGGAGAAACTCTCCACTCAGGAGTCGTGGCGCAAGGCAATGGCTGGTGGCCTTCTCTTCTCGCGGGAGACGCTCGACAATATCCCTGACAATGAACTTGACCCTAGCATTTTGACTGCAATTGGTGATTCAAGTGTCGCCCATGACATTGTAATGATCTGGACATGGCGCCGAGGCAAATCCGTGAAAGTCGTGGCCAACAAATCGTGGCTGGGGGCGCTGCAGCCAGCCAGTCAAGAGGCTGCGGATTTTCTGGCAGATCTCATTTACACCAAGAAGTACGACGAGAAGGTGAAGAGCGTGTTGCACACCAACTTTGACGTGAATGCCCTTCTCGAGCGCGAGGTGCTGAAGCCCATCTGGGACAAGCTAACCAAGAAAGCCGACAAAACGGCTGCGGCAACGCAGGCGGGGTGCGTTGGATGACGCCGCCCTTGTGAAAGCCGCCATCCGCCTTTCAGAGCCCAATGAAGCCAAGGCAACTGAGGCTGTCCATGCAGTTGAAGCTCTGAAGACTGAAGACAAAGAGTTTCTGCTAGAAACTGAGACAACCGCCAAGGACCTTGTCAATTCCCTTTTGCAGGTCGCGGTGGCTGACCAAGAGATTGACAAACTCATCCTTGCTTTGTCGAAGGTGGAATTCCTAAAGACGCGAAGCCAGGAGGGTTCCCAACTTTTCATTTGGGACGTTGAGCAGGCAGGAGAGCATAAAACCGACGCTCGGAGGTCACCCCCTCCGTTTCAGAAAGAACACTTCGAGAAAGTGGTCAAGGGCGTGCATTTTGCACGAAACAGGCAATCCACTTTGACCTTTGACGACTCGGACGGGCCGCCTCCCCCAGACGCTTCGGATGTGTTGCCTAGCTTATTAGATAAACACAGGATGCGTGCGCCGCCCATGCGTTGCTCATCTTAGGTTCTTGTTCTTTGACGGAGGCCGGTCAGGCCTGCATTCTCATTGGAACAACCTGTTCAAGGGCATCGGCGTGACTAAGATGTGGAATTTAATCCACACTGAGGCCTCGACAACTGCGAACAGGAAGGCCAGGAATCTGTCAGGGACGGCGATTGAGCGTGGGGCCAGGGCCTCAGCGTTTTAATGTGATTTCCTCGGAGGCGCGGGGGCTGATAATGAGGTCAACGTGATTAACTTGGCAGAAAAGGTCTTGGTGACCACCTCGGATGTGCAAAAGCTGCAAGCTATCACGGGAAGCCGGAAGAACCTACATTTTGAGGGGACCGTGTGTTCAGATGCTGCGCCTTGGATAAACCAAACAGTGCGCTGTTGTTTGGCGCGCTCAGCTTGCGCCCCTTGTTTGCGTGCGAGTTTCTGAGGTCTACGGGGTCCCCCGGCATGATTTGGCAGGGCTGACATGGCTGGCACCTGTGTTCAAGCACGAGTTGCTTGGAAGCTTCCGCGTGGCTGGTGCACCGAACAACCAACAGCGAACAGATGGAAGTGCAAAGGACCACGTGGCAGGAGAACCGATCACTTGGAATCCAAGGCATTCGCACATGATCGAGGAATTGTTGCACCGGTATCGGCCACGGGCTGTCACACTCATGACAGCAGCAGAGCCTGCGACAGCCAGCGTGATTTTGACAAAAAGAATTCCAGTGACAGCAATTTGCTCCTTGGCTGCATCGCAGTTTGATGTCCTTTTGCTCGAGTTTGGCTCTGGTGCCCAAGAAGAGCACGCCAGGCTTCTCACAAAAGCACGCCAAGTGGTTCAAGGCCCAGGTCTGCACACAGCTCCTCGCGGCGATGACTGACCCTGCCAACGACAAGATTTTCAACGCAAAGCTGGGAAAACTTTTGCACCTTCCGCATGCGCAGAGCAGCAGCACCCCTGAGCCTTCCACATCCACGGTGACAGGCAAGAAGCGAAAGTCGCGGGGAGGTGCCAATGCAAAGCCGAAGCCAAAGAAGGCTGCAAAGATGAAGGCGGCTCCGAAGAAGAAGTCGGAGAAGGATCCGATTGCAGAAGACGAAGAAGACGAAGAAATTGAAGATGAAGAGGACGTCGAGGAGGAGAATCTGAGTGAAGACTCCGTGGGCAGTGATGACTAAACAAACTGTGGTGCCACAGTTTGTGCATTCTTTTGTTTAGCCAGCGCATGACAATAATGATGATAGCGGGACATGTCTGTTGGCAGCGAAGCAATCACAGACCCAGGGCAGATTGCAGTTCGGAGCGCTGGGAGGAAAATGGGATAAACACGCTGCTGCAATTGTGAGTGTCCTGTCTATTGAACTGACAGTGCACGGAGAACCATTTGCAGTCCACGACCTGTGCTCTTGAGAGCCCAATCATGAGCCCCTCAAGCCAGTAAGTAGCATTGCCATTCATGAGCGGCGGCATTGAAGAAGGCAACTTTTTCCCGAGCCTGAGGAAGAACGAGCCTGACTCTGGCAACCAGGAGGCTGAGCCTTCCATCGAGCAGCTCTTCGGCGAGGCGGGGGGATGGGATGATTCTGATGAGCCGGAGGACGAGAACGAAGATATGAATGAAGAAGAAGAAGCAGAAGAAGAAGAAGACAAAGACGCAGGAGAAGATCCTCCATGTCCAGTAGCGAAGGCCAAAGCCAAGGCCAAAGCCAAGGCCAAGGCCAAAGCCAAGGCCAAAGCCAAGGCCAAAGCCAAGGCCAAGAAAGAGCCCAAAGCCAAGGCCAAGGTCAAAGCCAAGGCCAAAGCCAAAGGCAAGGCCAAAGCCAAGGGCGCGTCAAAGAAAACCACAAATTATGAAAATACCCGAAAAGCTTTCTTTGACAACGCTGCCGAGAACGGCCTGGATAGTAATGCTGCCCGGAACGCCTGGCTTGAGAGCACAGAGAGGAAGAATGCAATAGCTTCAATGCCAAGTCCTGAGAGAAGGCAACGCAAATTTGTGAAACCTCCTCCCGCTGATGATGTAAACTAGACCTTGTGGCAATGTCTGCTGCGGGCGCGCAGCAGACCATGGCACCGCGTGATGGGCAAAGAAACAAAAGAGCAAGCATTGCGTGTTGGACCTTGCAAGTTGCGATTGTCCTTGAAAGTTGCGATGTTGTTGATTGATGTTATTGCCCTGCAGCTGTTTTCGCTTCACATCTAGGCAACTGCGCGTCAGTCCCACTTCCCACAGACATTACTGTGCTACCACAGTAATTATGTCGTCATGGTTGGACGGCATGGGCAGTCAGGAGGCACGGTTTCAGCCAGGCGACCACGCTTGCTTGGTGACGTGGAAGTCCAGCTTCTTCCCGCTCTATCAGCTGCATTCGGAGATACTGGAAAAGTTGGAGCAAGCCATCGTGTTTCGCAAAGGGAGCCCCATCTGCATGGAGGAGTTCAGGGATCTGCGAGTGTTCATTCATGTGAACAGCGACGATTATCTGGAAAGACATTACACAGAGGAAACTGCAGACTGGTGCAATCACGTAACTCGCACTTCCTCAGTGCAGCAGTGGATCGAGCATCGGCCTTGGGTTCAGCTGGTGCAAGGGCCCACGAAGAACCTGATATGTGCCATCAACGAGTACAAGTGGAAGCATTATCAGTTGCGGTGTGTGGTGTATGACATTCAACGTGCCCCTTATGGTGGAAATTATGGGCCCCTTATGCTTCCTGGGAGAAGCGCTTCTTGATTTGGGGCTGGCAGGACGAGCTCGATCGCGTGCCTGACCTGGTTGAGTGGTCCCAGGACTATTCCTCGATACTTTGCCTGCCAATCAGTGACCCCGTGCCAAAACCACGGGTGATGCTGAAGGCCCTTCACAGACGAGACGTTGACATGATTCGCAGGTTCATGCCACTTTCTCTCTTTCCTGGCAACGCCATCTGGCATCCTGAGGACATCGAGCAGATCACTGCAGTAAAGCGTGAATCTGATGCAGAAGGAGAGGACGCTGACACGCAGGTTGAGGATCCGGAGTTTCTATTGGTCGACACCGCCGACCAGGTCCCTGGCACCGAGTGCGATCAAATTGGCCGTGTCCAAGTTGGACCCATCATCAACAATTCGCCATGGCACCAAGATCAGCGCGCAAAGCAGCGTGCTGCCGCCAGCTGCGGAAACGCAGCTGCTGGAACTTCAAAACCAGGCCTTGGATTGAAAAAATGCATCGAGCCACGGAGTGTGGTGTTCGCATGTGCATGAGCACTGCTAGGCTTTGTTGTTGTGTGAGTGCACGGGCATTGTTGCTGCTTGTCGTCCTGCCCTTGACTTGCATCGCCGCAGTCATTAAGGCCCGAGTTTTGCCGAAGGTTTCCAAACATGTCGTCTGAACACGAGAGCACGGTGATTTTCGGCAGTCGGGCTGACCTTCGCGCAGAGCGGAAACGCAAGCGTGATGAGTCGGGGGACTGGGACGAGCTTAGCCACCCAGACTTGCGGAGCTTTCTGCAGCAGAAGGAGCGGCTTGGAAACATTTTGATGAAGTATTACCCCACGCTCCTCCATTTACCTGCGGATGCCATGCCTGAGACACCGCCTGTTGGCAACCAGTCCTACACGGTCAAGCCTGCAGGATGCTGCAAGATTATGGTTAAGCTGGACAACTCAAGCTTTGTGGTGAAAGGCCTTGGACAATCACAGAAGTTTGGCTTCGGGATGAAGTTCTACGTGGGGAGTGCCGACGATTTGCCACTGAGTGAGCGAGTTTTGCCAGGGCTTGTCGCAGTGGCTTGGGCAGAGGCCCAGGTCCTGGCAAGGAAGTGGCAGCAGAAGAAAGATTCCGAGCAACCTGATGTCTCGCCCAGCTGCGATGCAACAACTGAGCCATCCCCCAAGGATGCCTCTTCCGGAAGCGAAACAACACTGGCTTGGGAGCAGTTCAGCCCTGATCGACTTTGACTCCAGTACAGATTGGATCAGGTGTTCAAACAACTGCGCCCCCGCAGTTGGATGCCTTGCTGTTTTCCCAAACGGGGGTTTTTGCAAGCTGCAATTGCTGCTTGCTTCTTAGCAGCAACATGGTCGGGGAGACATGCAATTGACATGTCGCGGGGAAAGCTGAGAGTCTGAAAAAGGAGCCCGCGTGAGTTTCAACAGCCACTGCGTGTTCATGTGTTTCTCAGACCTTCCACATCAGAAGGCCAGCCATGCCTGCCAGAGGCGCCAGAGCTCCTTTCGGCAATTGAATTGTTGAAGCCCCCCGAGGGTCACTCTGCGCAAAAGATGGGGGCAGGCGGGAATTGAATCCGCGACCTCCCTACCAGCTGCGGGTCCGCAGGTTGGTTCGGGCGCGCTGCCATTGCGCCACTGTCCCTTGCTCCCTCTGTGGCAACTTCGGGGCCTGAACCCGGCCCAAATTTTGAACAAGTCTTCGGAGCCAACACGGAGAGTTTTTCCAGCTTGAAAACAATTTAGAGCCTGAACCCGGGGCCCAAATGGAACAGCTTTTCGGGGCCCGAATCCGGGACCCGAATGGAACAGCTTTTCGGGGCCCGAATCGGGGCCCGAATCAAACAACTTTTCGGGGCCCGAATCCGGGACCCGAAAGGAACAGCTTTTCGGGGCCCGAATCGGGGCCCGAATCGAACAACTTTTCGTGGCCCGGGGCTCTTGGCTGTGGATGTTTCTCTGGGGGCTCTTTGGAGGCCACCGTTTCAATCTGCACATTTGTGTCCACCAGCCATCTTTTCGGGGCTCGAATGGTATACGACTTTTCGGGGCCCGAATCCGGGACCCGAATGGAACAGCTTTTCGGGGCCGAATCGGGGCCCGAATCGAACAACTTTTCGGGGCCCGGGGCTCTTGGCTGTGGATGTTTCTCCAGGGACTCTTTGGATGCCACTGTTTCAATCTGCACATTTGTGTCCACCAGCCATCTTTTCGGAGCCCGAATGGTATACGACCTTTCGGGGCCCGAATCCAGGACCCGAATGGAACAGCTTTTCGGGGCCCGAATCCAGGACCCGAATGGAACAGCTTTTCGGGGCCCGAATCGGGGCCTCGAACGACTTTTCGGGGCCCGGGGCTCTTGGCTGTGGATGTTTCTCCAGGGGCTCTTTGGAGGCCACCGTTTCAATCTGCACATTTGTGTCCACCAGCCATCTTTTCGGGGCTCGAATGGTATACGACTTTTCGGGGCCCGAATCCGGGACCCGAATGGAACAGCTTTTCGGGGCCCGACTCGGGGCCCGAATCGAACAACTTTTCGGGGCCCGGGGCTCTTGGCTGTGGATGTTCCTCCAGGGGCTCTTTGGAGGCCACCGTTTCAATCTGCACATTTGTGTCCACCAGCCATCTTTTCGGGGCCCGAATGGAATGACTTTTTGGGGCCCGAGCCCAGTGCCCGAATGGTAGTTTTTTTTCTTGTGGTGCTTGAATACTTTGTGCAAGTTGGACTTTTTTGTTTTTTGGGGATCTAAAGCTTGACTTGCCGGTAGTTGAACCTTTCGACCATTGACAAACTCTTATGGGCCAGCATTGAAAAGATCTGGGCAGGGGGTGGACTCTCGCTACTTTCTTTGTCAAGCTCCAGCCGCCTGACTTCACGTCGCCGTTGCCAAAGGGGGCGTGCCGTGGTTGTGATAATAAAGAGCGAGCTGGGGGAGATGAAGAACACCAAGAAGCTGCAGGCCGACCCCGTGAATGTCAAAACTGCAACTAAGAGACGGCAGCTTGGAATAACAGTTCAGTCAATAATTGTAGTATGTGTTTTATTATCTCTTCAACTGTGTTCTTGAGCCTGCCCAAAACATCTTTGCAAACTGCACTGGGCCAGGTACGAGAACAACCGGACCTGCAACATCCGTGTGCGACTCACCAAGAAGAACTATTGAATCTCCAAAACCATGATGAGTTGCTTGCTGAAGTAGATCGGCTGCGGCTGGACAATGACTCCATGAAGAAAGAATTAGATTTCTGGACCAAAAGCACTACCATGGGTGCACGGGACTGGTGTGACCGTCTCCGCCAGGCTGAGCAGAAATTCCGTGAAGCAGCTGAAATGAACGCGCGGCTTGAAGAGGCCCTGCGTGATTTAAACAGCAAGTTGGACCAGCTTGCGCTTATGACAAACTGCGCTCGCGCAGTTTGTTTTGAGGCGAAAGCTGCCAGCGCCAGTGCCTGAGGCAAACCTGGCAGCTGCCATATGACGGGGTCTCACTGGCGCTGTCCAGCTGTATCTCTTTTCCATTGGCATGGGGCAATGCCGGAAAAAAAGAGAGCAGCTGCGCGTGCACGGCCTTTTGCTTCTTGCTTATCGGCTGCTAAGGTGGCCAACGATTGTAACCAGTAGGCTGCCAAGTTCCCCTGCTGCATGTTTCTGCCCCAGCGGATCCCGCCCCTTCCCTCTTGACTTTCTTCTTTGGGGTCCTTTTGGCCATGCAGCAACGCAAGTCAAGTTCAAGCCACCTCGGAGTAAGAGCGCATCCCAAAATTCTTCCCCCCCCCCTCCCTCCCCAAGATTTTCGGCAAAAAAACACTTCCGAAAAACGGATTGTTTTGACAAAGAACGCGCACGCGAAAAAACAAGGTTTTCGGTCCAAAAAAAGCACACAAAAAAAAAAGGCATAAAAAGCATGTCCTTAATGACCGGCCAGACTGTGTGGTGCTGGCGGCATGGGATGATCAGGCTGATGTGGAGGATCCGGAGGAGGATCTGACATGTTCTCGTCCGGTGGTGTTGGAGGTCTTGGATCAGGCATGGGATGGTCCGGTTGATCAGGTGGCTGCTGTGTGTCAGGTTGTTGTGGAGGTTCATCCGTTGGATCCGATGGATCAGTCTCGATGGGCATCGGCCTGATAGCCGGCGCATCGCTGAACGACTGATGAACGGATGAAAACATCACAGCATGCCAAGTCTTCGGATCATACTTCTCCCAATTGAGACCCAAATTCTATTCAGCTGATCAGGCTGCCAAAAGGATATGATTGCATCGTCTGGAGGTGACGTAATAGGCATATTGATGCCAATGGTGTGGGCGTATGCGGCGCATGCATCATACTGAGTGGATGAGAACAATTGTCTCAACTTCTTACAGCCATTCCACATGTTCTGACATTGCCAGTCATTAGGATCTTGCTTGAAGATATCGATTTCAGTTTCAGGTGGGTACTGCTTCATCGTCTTCTGGAACTTCTGAACTAGCGGATCCTGGATGACTAATGGTTGAACGTCCTTGTTGAACGGCAAGTCTTGGATTCTGACTGCAAGACTGCTGCTGGTCATGTTGAACTCCTTGTCCATGGCTTCCATCTCCTTTCTCAGGATATCAACCTGCTTGATGGTGAATGGTTCAAAAAGATCCTCCAAGAGGTACACCTCATTGTCAAGCGGTTTCACCTGCAGGTGTCGTAGGAGGATGTGCGCGAGATCCTGACAGAACTGGTAAGGATACACCTGTGCCAGTTTGGTCCTGCTTCCTAAAATACCAGAGTTTCCCTCTAGGGGTTGGTGTTCATGCTTGACTGAGCTGGAAAATTTTTTACACCTTCTGAAGATCGGTCTCATGACCTCGAAAGGTAAACAGTGCATCAAGCTCGTGGGCTTGAGACTTCTGAGCCCGGATTCAGGATCTTTAAGTCCGTATGCACAGAAAGGGAAATCTCCCCAGGTCACGGATGGATCTGAAAACAACTGTTGCATGCAATTCAGATACCATATCCTGGATGTCTGAGGATTTTCAATGATGAAATATCTTCTGTGCTTCAACTGATATCGCGCAATGGATGCCACAAATTCAACCATGGGGAGATAGCGTCTCCGCTTTTCCCCGACCTTTTGTTGGTCTTGTTGGATGTTCTGCGTGTTTGACCATGGTCCACAGACCGGTGCCATTAGGATGACATCAGGTGCTTGTTCCCTGATGATCTCCATGACCATGTGTCGTCCCTTGGATGTCATTACATCGAATCCTGTGCGGATGTCTACGGGAGTCCCAACCTTAAGACCTGATAGTGCACAGCATTGACTAAATCTGGCACTTCCTGCAAAGATCTCAAGAACGTGGATCTTTCCCTTACGTACACAATTCCAATGTGCTTGTTCAGGAATGGATGTGAGGTCCTCGACGAACATGTTCTCTGCTGGAGGAGGTACTACAGGTTTTGGAGTTGTTTTTCCCGCGATACGTAATGGCACTGAGGATCTTGGCTTAGGAGCTGGTGCGGATGATTCCTTTTTCTTGGTATCTGCAGAGGAGCCTGGTTGCTCCTTCTGCAAGGATTCTCGCTCTTCTGGTAACAGAAGATCAATTCCGGGTTTCCTCGGAGGGATGGTCTCATCCTTCCTGAGCTTCGTCATGTTAACCTTGATGAGTCGAGTCCCAAGATCAAGTCCTACCATCGCTCCTTCAATGGAAATGACCTTTCCTTTTAGCAATATTCCTCCCTTGCTTCCATCAGAGCGAATCTTGGATTTGTCTTCCTGCCAGTAGAATACCTTGTCCTTCACCTGAAGAGGCCTTGAACTCATTCGGAGATTTTGAGCAAGGTCTCGTTGGATGTCTTCGGATTGACGTGCTTCTTGGAAAGCTTGCTTTGACAGCTGCTTGATCTGGATGGCTGTCAGCTCTTCTTCATTCCTGTCAATCGTCAACTGAGTTGGTGTTGCGACATCGAGTTGGATGAGATCTGCTGGTCGTCTTCCAAATGCGAGCTCCAATGGTGTTACACCCCCGTAGGTGACGGTCTGATTCCTGACAGTTGCAGCGGCCTTCACTAGCTGCCTGTATGTCACTTTCTTCAGTGTTGCAGGTGCTGTACCTGCTTTGGTGGAACTTAGCATGATCTTGAGCTGTGCCTTCAGGAGTCGAACTGCTGCTTCAGCTCGACTTGGCCATGGTGTATTCGGTCCCAAGGATATCGGTGTGATGTCAAGGGACTGATAGAAATGTTCCCAGGTA